TATATATATCTATATATATATATATATTGTTGGGCGCCGAATAGCTCTTTTCTTCATCAACCAATTTCGTTAGATGTTATAGTAATATCATAATAATTTCAAATTAAACACAATATTTTTCATGAATACTTTTTATTTTTCCCGTTCATTAATACTCTGAGATGCTGTCGTCTATACGAAAATTACACAACTGCCCACTTAAAATTCCATTTTGGCTTTATATAGCCTTTTCATTTAATAATCAGGAACAGTAGTTTCCTTATATGTATGAGTGCAAAGTATGTGATTTCCCGATCGAAATTCATAGGAATTACTGCGTCGCAGGCTCACGTACGCATTTGGAAAAAAGTGCATCGAACCTATTTTGATTATAATACTTTTGATACTCGATATGACTTAATACAATGTAACAACAGTTCTTGGGATGAATACAATGTTGAGAAACTGAGAATCTGATATATGCGCAGCATATATTATAGTTAGTAATATATTAGTTATAGTTAAACCATTGGGTCGCAACACCTCAACCGCCGAAAAAACGCGCGCCCTCGTGCGTCTGTTTAAAAAAATAAAAAAAAGCTTCTTGCCATGCTTCAAGTAACTATTTGCACTCATACATTTACATAGTAAAATTTTTTCCATAATGTTAGCGTGTATGTTATAAAATACGATTACAGTTTTTTTTTCATTTCATGAAATTTTAAATATTTTCAATAAATTTTCTTTCAAATATAGTAGTTTAATGTCATTAGTTTTTAATTGAGTATAATTTCGTTTCAAAGTGTATCATTTTTCTTTTTAAAATTTCATGATTACAAGTTTATTTTCATATATTTCATTGATAATATCTCAAAATAGAAAGTTCGATTAGTTTAACAATAATGCTGTAAATATTTATATAATGTTAATCATTAATTAATAATACTTTTTTTCTTATTTCATATAGTTTTCATATATAATAGTGTTCTTACTTAATCATGCTATTCATTAACTTAATTTTATTTTTTTGACCTTGTAAATAATGAGGAACTTAAAATATTTTTATTTGTTACAAGTAATTTTTAATAACATGTTTTTTAAACTGTCTAGAATATAACTTTTTCTTTGTAGACTTAACTATAGAATATAATTCATATATTTTTTTTAAACTTAAACTATTTAATATCTCTTTTTTCATGCTTGAACCATAGAATATAACTCTTTTTTGTATGCTTAAACTATTTATCTATTTCTAATAATCAAAATATTAATTTCATTCTTGGTAAATTCAATACGCGAGAGTAACAAAACTCTTAATCATTTGATATGAATATCTTTAATTTATTGTCATGAACTAAAACAGGTTTGTCATTTATCAGTATAGTGCTGTTTACATCGTCTGTATTAATAATTTTATATGGACCCTTAAATAAAGGCATTAATTTTTTGCATTTTCTTGGATAAGAAGTCTCGTCCCTGAGTAATACTAAATCGTTGATTTTAAATGTCCGTTGATTTGCGTTTTTGTAATAGTATTTTCTAGATTTTGTTGTTGGGGAAAGATGTTTAGTTTTAATTACCGTAGGTTTTTTAACTTTCTTCTTTACTTTATTTGCTTGACATTCCGTACATTTACTTATAAAATCTTTAATATTTCGCTTCATTTTTGGCCATTTATATAATTTTTTAATCTTATTGTATGTTTTTCTTATTCCTAAATGTCGTCCGTGCATTTGTGAGATATGTAAGTCGCATAAAATTTTATTTATCTGTTCCGTTGTTAAGTTTTCTGTAATATTATTATTGATGATAGTAGTTTCATTTATAGTATTTAAATTTTGTTTAAAACTGTTTGTATCGTCGTTTAAAACTGTTAAAAGCGAAAAGTTTTTCTCATTTGTTTCTATTATATCGTCTTTATCTTTTAATTCTGATGTATCAAACATTGAATCTTGCTCTTTTTCTAATTTTGTACAAAAAATATTATTTTCAATACATAACGTAACATTTTTAGTTTTGAAATTTATCTGTGCATCAAAATGTGTCAAAAAATCTTTGCCTATTATTCCTATGTCTTTTGTCGGTAAGTTTCTTACTACTTGAAATGGGAATGTTATTTTATTATCATTTATAACAAATTCTAAATAAACTGCTCCTAAAGTTTTGATTGTATCATTTGTGATTCCCGAAATTTCTTTTTGTAAATGTTGATATATCAATGTATCTAAATTTAGTTGATCAAGTTGTATTAATGAAATGTCGCTT